CCCCAGAAAGACACCTTTTCTTAGGCCTTTCAGACACTGGCTGAGAGCACCGGGTTACCAGCCCTCATCCAGCTGTGGCCACGGGCAGAGACCCCTCCGTAGAGGCTGTTCCCTTGGGAATGGGCTCTCCTGCACTCCATTTTTGGGGCTCAGGTCACCACCTTGTGCTCTGTTCTAGCTGAATCTCTCACATCTGTAAAGCTGGATGGACAACAACCAGTCTGTAACACGGGGAGCTGAGGGCTTGGGTCCAGCAGGCAGATGAGGCCCAGAGAGCAGGGCTGTCCTGTGCAGGACTGAATGCCCAGAGCAGCTCTGCTGCCGTGTTTGGGCTCCTGGATCCCTGCAGCCACAGCCCATGGGAGTGCAGGGAGGGGGCACAGCCCAGCTTTGGTGTGGTCATAGCCTGCTCTACCGCCCTGCTGTGCCCCCTCTCCCCCAGGCACGGGGGAAATGTGCTGCTCAGCTGCTCGGTGTGGCATTACAGAGAGGTATCGCCCTCTCCCCAGTGTAGCAGCTGGCACCCCGGGATCCCTCGGGCTCTGTCACGCAGGATTAGCTTTGCTCTGTTTGATTGCAGTCCCCGCACGAGGCTGTGCTGGAAGGCCTGGGCTACGTCCTCTCGCAGCTCCTCCAAGCCAAGGAAGCCCCCGCAGAGATCGTACCGTGAGTACCAGCCTCTGAATCCTGCATCAGGACGGGCCCCGCGGCCTGGCGTGGTATTTGCGTGCCAGGGACAACGCCGCCTCTCCCATCCCAGTGATATTAATAGTTCAGAGCAGAATCCTACCGGAATTGTGGAGGTTTTGTTGCGGATCAGGGTGCAGGGCCTGACTCTTTTCCCTCGGCCTCATCTGAGCAGACAGCTCTGGTATTTCGGTAAAGGACAGTGACGGGCAGCGTAGGCTCACAGGGAAATTCTGTGTTCCTCCTGCGAAGGAAAAAATCAGCTTGGCAGCTCTCAGTGTCAAAAATGTGACCCAGACAAGGTGTCCCGAGTGCCCCCAGGCCCTGCCATGGACAGAGAGAGCTTGTGCTGGGCCTTACCCTTAGGTAAGAGCCCCTTGCAGGTGTGTTTTTGGAGCACGTGATCCCCAGTATGGGGGAGAGCAGCTCCCTGCTCGGTGGCCAGGGCTGGTGTCTCCCTGTCAGTCGTCTGTCCTGCTTGTGCTCTGCTTTGAGCCTCCATTGTCTCTGCTCTTCTGCCCCCAGCTTGGTTCTGGACTCGGTTCTCCCCCAGCACATGCTTCGATTGGTTTGCTCCAGCCTCAAGGCTGGGATGGGAGCAGCCGTGGAGTTCGCGTGGTGTCTCCACTACATCATTTGCAGGTAAATGCGCTTTTCTCCTCATTTTGAGTTCCCTGGGGGCAGTCAAATGGAGAGGCACAAAGCCTCGGGGATCTGGATTGCCTCTCCTCACCTCTTTCCCTTGGGAAAGCCATTTCCCTGCCATCCTGGGTGTTCCCACTCATATCTGAGCGCACACAGGCTGTTTGCAGGATTGCTGAGCTCCTTTACAGGGTGATAACAAGTGATTAATGGGAAGAGGCTGTTCCTAGTCCTCTGAAACCACCCCAGTCACCTCCCCGTGTCTGGAGGTGTCCCCTGCACCTCCAAGCCAAGCTTCCCGAATGCTCTGGAGCCTCTGGGGTTGGCCCAGTGTCACCCATCCGGCCTGGATGCCACCAACAATCTCTGCCTGCCTTGGTGTGGCTGCTCCGGTGCCACCTCTTTCAGCAGCCCCAGCAGAAAGGAAATGTGTGGGTACTCAAAGAAGGATCGAGACCACATAGATCACGGAACACAGGAGGCTCCACTGAAATTTGAGAAGAAACTTCTTCTCAGTGAGGGTGACAGAGCACTGGCCCAGGCTGCCCAGAGAGGTTGTGGAGTCTCCTTCTCTGCAGACATTCAAAACCCGCCTGGACGCCTTCCTGTGTAACCTCATCTGGGTGTTCCTGCTCCGGCAGGGGGATTGGACTGGATGAGCTTTTGAGGTCCCTTCCAATCCCCAACGTTCTGGGATTCTGTGATCCCAGCAGATCTGTTTGCCCAGGGCTTTTAACCTTCCTCATGAGCTCAGCGACACGAAATGAGCGCTGTGGTGGTTCAGGAGAGCGCTGTGAATTTCCAAGCCCTGTTGTTTGCTGAGGGCTGCAGTGCTTTTCCCTGAAGGCCAAGAGCAACCACGCTGTCCCTTCCCTTTGCAGCCACACAGCCAGCGCGGCACTGCAGGCGCTGGGGGCCGTGCCCGCCCTCAGCTCGCTCTTGCTCGAGTTGGCTTCCGAAATCCCCCAGGACGTTCCCGAGGGCCTGGAGCTGGTAAGATGTGAGCGGGGCGCTGGTTGCTCTCAGCTTTGCTGTGAGGATGTGCTGTGGCTGAAGGGCTTCGTGTTTTTGTCACCTCGCAGCTCGTCTGCCCGGTGCTGCGGTGTCTCAGCAACCTGCTCGCGGAGGAGATGGGCTGGGGAGCCCAGGTCCAGGACGAGCGCTTGCTCATTGCCCTCTTCCTCATCCTGCAGCGCTTCCTGCAGCAGCACCCGTTCATGGTTCAGGAGTGCCTCTGGCTGCTGAACAACCTCACGGGTGAGCGTCCTGCCAGCAGAGCCAACGCGGCTGCCAGGACCTGCCTCGATTCCTGGCAGATTTGTGGCATCGTGTCTACAGAAACAATGATTTTCTTGATGTGTTTGGTCTCTCCAGCGGATGAGCCCTTCTTCTGCTCCGCTCTGCTCTCCCTGGACCTGCTCCCGGCCCTGCTGCAGCTCCTGCCGTGCTCCCAGATGGCCACCGTGCTGGTAAGACCTCGCCTCGTGCCCCAGCTCTGGGCTTTCAGGAAGGTGAATCCCACACGCACGGTGCTCACGTTGGAGGTCTCATGTTGTGGTAGGGCCCCCACCCACCTCCCCTGAAGTCACCATGTCTGTAGTGACCCTTGAGAGAGCCTTGTCCTGGGAGAAAAGGGGTCCCAAGGCAGATGGTAACTTGGGGCCAGGTCTGCCAGCACCTGCAGTGGGCCCGGGGAGGCTGCTGCCACCTCCTTTTGGAAGACCCTAAAGCTCTAGGGGGTCCTGGGGGCTTTGGGAAAGCACCCGGTGGGACCTCCAGGGAGGACATGGGGAGTTTTTTAGAGCCTGTTGGGAATCCTCTGCCCACTAACGAAGTGTTCATTGCTCCCTCCCTCCCATGGCTTCTCCACCCAGGTCCTGACGGTTCTGTGCAACATCGCGGAGAAGGGGCCAAGGTATTGCCAGGAGCTGCACCGGCAGCTGGCCCTGCCCCTGCTGCTGCCCACCCTGGCGCCGGCCGACCCCGAAGTGGTGGGGCAGTGCCTGGAGCTGCTGCACCTCCTCTTCCTGCACTGGCCAGAGGTAAGAGCGGGGGGTGCCTCCCCCAGAGTTGAGTGCAAGATCCTAAAATCGGGATTATTTTATTTAAACGATGCTGCTTTCACTCATTGCCGTGCTCAGCCCCCTTCCTCAGCACCCAGACACGTGCTTGAAGGGGGGCAACTGTTTGAGATAGAAGATGGGGGTCCCCCTGTCTCCAGGGAGTTCCTTTCCATTGACAAGGACTGGGTTTTGGGCAGGTTGCTGTACCCTTCAAGGTTATTATGTGGGGGATTCTTTTACTTCAGTTGTGCTTCAAGCTCTGTGCACTCTCAGGTCGAGACTTTAGCACCTGGGGAGTTCCCTCAACCCCGCTCCCTGTGCAGACAGGCCCAGCTGTGGCAGCCAGCGCTCCCCCCTCTCCTCTCGCACAGGCCGCTGCTGATTTTGTCAGCCAAGGCGGGCACCGGGCCCTGGAGCAGCACCTGAACACCCCAGAACTCCAGGAGCAGGCACAAGCGCTGCTGGACATGGTCAGGTAGCCGCTGGGAGCCTCTGCCTTCAGTCCCTGCCACACCACGTTGCCTGCCTTCTCCTAGGCCGTGCCACCTCCTTCCTACTCCAAGGAGTAAACCATTTGATCACCTTGTGCCCTGCTTTCCCAAGGGCTGGCCAGGGGTTTGACCAGCAGTTGTAAGCACCAGCGCTGGCTGCACAGGGATGCTGGTCCTTGGCAAGATACAGCTGCTCCTATCCTTGTGGTCACCTTGCAGCTACCAGGAGGCTGCCCCATGCCACCCCAGAGCCTGGTGCAGGGGCAGAGCTGAGCTGCAGCCTGAGCAGACGGGCCCTTGATGTCAAGGGGGTGGTGTTTAAACACTGCTGGATTGGCCGTTCCCTCCAGCAGCGCCTTTGGGCTCTAAACCCAACACGTGAAGCTCAGGGTAAGCACGTTGCGTTTATGAGATTGATGAGTTAAAGATACACGCGGTTTACATTAAAGATCAGCAGTCGAGTCTTCAGCACGTGCGTGTTTACTGTCTGTCTTCACACCTTGCTTTTCACAACGCTCTCCAAGGCCTTGGCCACTTCGTCCACAGTAAGGTTGTTGAGCGGCACGCTCTTCTCCTTGCCAAACTCTGCAGGAAAGACAGAGACTGAGTGTGGGGACGGGTGCCCTGGTCCTTTTCTGGTGCAAGGGTGACCCAAAACCCTGCTTTAGGTTTCCCAAGTGCCACTGGTGTCACAGCCCAGGCTCCCATCACCACCCTTTTGCACCCACCCCCATTTGTGCCCAAATGATCATTCCCACCTTCTCTTTATCCTCAGCCTTTCACAGGATCCCAGCATGTCAGGAGTTGGAGGGAACCTGGAAAGCTCCCCCAGTGCAACCCCTGCCACAGCAGGATCACCAGAGCAGTCACACAGGAACACGGCCAGGGCTTTGGGTGTCTCCACACAAGGAGACTCCACAACCTCTCTGGGCAGCCTGGGCCATGCTCCAGAACCCTCACACTCACAAAGTTTGGCCTCATCTTCAGCTTGAACCTCCTGTGCTCCAGCTTGGGACCATTGCCCCTTGTCCTGGCATTGGCCATCCCAGAGCAGAGCCTGGCTCCTTCCTCCTGACACTGCCCTTTCCCAATGGATCCCCAGGAATGAGGGCACCCCTCAGTCTCCTCTGCTCCAAGCTCAAGAGCCCCAGCTCCCTCAGCCGCTCCTCAGCAGGAGATGCTCCACTCCCTCCAGCATCTTTGTGGCCCTGCTGGACTCTTTCAAGCAGTTCCTGTCCTGAGGAAGCTGAGGAAGCAGCTGAGGACCCAGCACTGGACACAAGATTGCAGCTGTGGTGTGAGCAGGGGAGAGCAGAGGGGCAGGAGAACCTCTCTGCCCTACAACCACCCCTTCTTATCCACCCCAGGATGGCGTTGGCCTTCTTGGCTCAAGGGCACATTGCTGGCTCATGGTCATCCTGCTGTCCACCAACACCTCAGGTCCTTTCCAGCCGCTCGTCCCCAAGCCTGCAGCGTCCATGGGGTTATTGTGACTGAAGTGCAGGACCTGGCACTTGGCCTTGTTGAAGCTCACACAATTGGCCTCAGCCCATGGATTCAGCCTATCCAGGTCCCTCTGCAGAGCCCTCCTACCCTCATGCAGATCAACACTGCCACTCAACTCAGTGTCATCTGCAAACTTGCTGAGGGAGCTCTCAATCCCCTTTTTTTTACCTTTGGAGAAAAACCACCTCAGCCTAACTGACTGCCTCGCCTCTTTTTCTTACCTCTCGCTGCAGAGCAGCTGGGCAGAGGCCACCACCACATCCCAAAGCAACCTGGTGGCTTTTGGCCTGCTCACATCAAGACGCTCACAAGCACTTCAGTAAAACAGCGCTGGAAAATTTGCTGTATGCTTTTCTGTATTGGAGTCCCACAGGGCTGGGGGATCACGGACACAAGCTGGCAAAGCACCCTTTGAGCTGTAGGTCCCTCTTTAGCCTCCCACCGTGTAACACACCTCTCTGAAGCCAAGCCTCACCTCTCGGACAGCTGCTCCCTCACCATCGCTGTCCCTTGCTGTAATCGCTGACACCCCCCACACCCTCCCTCTGCTGCAGACCGCGGGGCTCTGGCCTCCTCCTCAGGGGGCGCTTCCCAGCAGGGACCCCCCCCTCGCCCCGACACTCACCGTACCGAGCCCAGAGCTTGGGCTGGACACCGGAGCACTCGCGGATCAAGATAGGGAAATCTGGGTTTGCTTTCTTCAGGGTCACGTAGTGCTGCTCGATGAAGTCTCTGCGGAGGGAAGGAGGTGGCTGAGCCCGCTAGGGCCGGGCATGCTGAGGGCAGGCCGGTGTCTCAGACCCTCGGATGCCCTCCCCCGGCCTCCACCCCGCCCTG